AAATATTACATAGGTAATTATCCAAATTTTTGCTGTCAATGGGATTTGAACACCCAACCTACCACTTAGAGGGTTGACAACCTGACCACTTCACTAGGTTGCCACACCCTAATCTAATAAACTTTTAAAACTGATATAAAGTTTATTTACTATGCATATCAGTTTTGGGAGAGTTGACTATATTTTAAATTACTAATAAAGATATAAGCAAAGACTTATCTTAATACTAAAAAAAAAACACTTTTTCAAAAAATAATTTTTAATACAGTAAATAATGTTCAAAAAATAATTGATAAATTGCCAAAAAATAATGTTAATAAAAAGATATATTAAATAATAATAAAAAATGAGCTTATTATAATTTTTTTAAAATTTTAAAACTATATTTTAAAGAATACCAAAAATTTTAAAATATAATAATTTTTTATTTATTTTTAAAAATTCAGAAAAGGCATTATGTCAAACTGAAGTATATAAAATTTATAATATATTTAATATTTTAAAAAATAAATTTAGAGATATAGCAACTTAGTAAAGTGATAAGTTATCAAACTCCTAAGTGATAGGTTGTGAGTTTAAAATCTACTAATAACAAAAATTTAGATAATTACCTATATAATATTTATATTACAACAACTGTTATTAATGATTGAATTAAGATATCTGTAATTATAGTTATATCAGCATGACTGGCAGATTATAGGGCATTTGTATAAATAGTTATATAAAAAATTGCAAATCAGCATTAGGTAGTGCAAATCCAAGCAAGTCTTTGTAGCTGTATAAATCTGTAGAAATTGAAAAACAAGAAGCCTATTTAAAAAAACCAAAGTAGAGAGATAATATAGATCTTTAATGATACTACTGTAAAGGCTAGATCTAGAAAATAAATACCAATATGATGTATTCAGATAAACAAAAACTTCTGGATAAGGGTACCACCAACTAGGCCACCAGAATTTTAACTGAGAGAACTGGAGAAAAAAAATATCAGGCTGATTTAATATACTAATAAATTGGTTGTAGTTCTACTAGGCTATTTGGATTAAAAGTTCAAAGAAAAAACTATAAGTACTAGAAATATGCTGTAAAGTAAGTACTGGAGTCTAGATGAACTTTGCAAGGGCAAGCTTTGTTAATGTTCTATAAAATAGATAAGTAGTTAACAAAAGGGTACTCTAAGCCTTACAGTCAAATAATATACTTTAAAATTAGGTAATAGCTTAACATATATATAGAAGAGAAGCATAATATTAGATTAAATAATATTTAGATATGCAGGAACTGAGATAACTAATTGTCTAAGTGCAGTATAGAAACCAAAGTATTTAATTAGATAGTCTTTTAGTAGATTATAAATATGCTAACTAGTGTAGAACCTTCAGGTAAACTACTTAAATAGGTAACCAAAAGTTATATATATAGCTAGTTGTACACTTATCCTATACAAGTAATATATAATATATTAACTAAAAATACAAATAAAAGCATTAGTTACTATTAACATTGGCTTTAATAATATTAAAAAAAATAATAATAAGTTTAATATTAATAAAATATTTGATAAAATTTTTTTAAAACTTTTATTAAAAAAATAACAAAAGTATCTTTATTATAAAATAAGAAAATATTTATATATAAAATATCAAAAAATAACTTGTTCAAAACCATCATAGCTTAATAAATATATTTTTTTAATTAAAATAAAAATCCAAATACTTAAATAACAATAATTAAAAAAGGTTAAAATATAATGTCTAATTTATCTTATACTTTTTTTAAATTATGTAATAGTAACCAAAATCTGACTTTATAATTTTTTATATTACAATTTATTAATAATCTGTTGTCATTTTTGATTGAATAATTTAATAATCATTAATTAATTTTTAGAATATTGAATTTTTTGAAAAATTAATTTTTTTAAGTTAAAAAATCTTAATAATTTATTAAATTAATATAAAACAAAAATTTACTACATATTATCAAGAACCAATGCTTTGGTTTAAATCAAATATCATGAATTTGTAAAAAAGTATTAAAGATAGGTTTTTCTAGTTTATAATTTATATAATTAAAAATATAAAACCTTTAGATTAGCCTAAATCTAAAATTAGTAAAAAAATTAGAGATGTTAAAAGTTTTGTTCAGTTCAGTTCAGTTTAGTTCTGTTTTATAAAAATTTAAGTTTAAAAACTGTTTAAAAATAAGTTCAAAAAATATTATATAAAAGTTACAAAAATATCATATAAATATTATATGTGAGTTTCAAAAATCAGTTTATATATCAATTTTTTTCAAAAATTTAATAGATCTTTATAATTTAAAAAAATACAAGACAAATTCTAAATTTTTAAAAAACAAATTGCTTTTATAAAAAATCAAATTAACAAATTAATTTTGATATTTTGTAAATATATTATATATAGATAATTTGGGCTTGAGTTTGTAATTTGGATATGAACAAACCAAACTATAATAGTTTGAGATTTGACTAACAAGTATAATTCTAATCTTTAAAAAATACTAACATTAAACTAATACTAATGTTAAAATAATTTTATTAAACTTTATAATTTAAGTTTTTTAATTACAACAGATTTATACCAACTTTTAAGACAGAAAGTTGCCTATGCTTTTTTTAGATTCAAACAATTTTATAAGAAGTTTATAATACATTTAGTAATTAAGAATACCTACTCATTTGGTATACTAGTAGCCTGTATATACAGGTAATCTTAAGCCATTTTTGTAATATTTTTGTAATTTTTGATTATTTGTATAAGTTTTTTACAATGATAATATTTTACAATCAATTTTTGTTAATATAAAATAATATCATAATTTACTTGTTATACTAGAAGAATTAAAAGAACATTTAAGAGTTTTTTTAAAATAATTATATAAAATTGATTATAAGATATCTGTTTGGAATAATAAACTAGCATTAAAGATACTATATTTTAAATAAAAATTTTCTATATATTGTTGTATTATATAACAAAAGTTCAATGTTTAGATCAAATAAAGCAATCATAAAAAAAGATTAGTCTAATTTTTTGCTAATACTTATTAAATTTAATTGTTATAACTATTGCAACAAGTTTTGGTATAGTTTATTGATTATATTATTAATAATTTTTTCAAGTGATTTATTAATTGTAATAAATATTAAATGAAGATCTCCTAAAGTTGAATGACTCAATAATAAAAGCATTAAAGTTGCTTGGTAGATGAGATTAAAAAATTATAAATTTCCTATAATTGTATATTAAAAAAATTTTTTAAAAAAATTATTTTATTATTAAATAAATAAATAAAGATGTATCTTAATTTTTAATCATTTTAATTTAGTTAGATAATTTAGTTTTAATAAATTATTTAATGTAACAAGAATATTAGTTATGTTTTTAATTTTTTTAACTTTTCAATTATTAGAAATATATTATTCTAATAAGTTGGAATGTCTAGATTAGAAACAAAAAACTTTTTGTTTTTTATTCTAAATATATCTTTTAATTCTTGAAAAATTGACTGTAAATTACAAATAATAGATGCAAATAATCTTATTTTTATAATAAAAATATTAACAATTTTTAATTCTTCTGTAACAATTAAGTTTAAACTATGAGTAGCACAATAATAATACTGAAAATTATTATTATTAAATTTTTCTTTAAGGTTTTATTGAAAATAAGTAACAAAAGTAATTATATTGAATCTGTTATTGATTGTTGTTACAATTATTTTTTTTCTTATTTTATAAAAACTAACAATTTCTAAAATAACATTTAAAATATTTAATCTTGTATGATTATCTTTAATAGGGATAAGATTAAGAGCAATTTTTGTGTATTCCAATCATCATTAATCCAATGAAGCATTATAGATAAATAATTACTGTTATTATAAGCAATCTATAAATTAGTTGTAATAGCTAATTTTTTTTATTGTTTTTAAAAAATCTTTTAATAATAATTATTGGTTTTGATAAATTGCTTTAATTTGATTAGATATAGTTTGCCAAGATGATAATCAATACCATTTATCAAGTTTTTCAATAGATTCAATGAAACTAGAATTTTTAAATAACTATAAAAGATTGTTGATTACAAATAATCCACTTTATTAGCAGATAAGTAATGCATTTAACTTTTGATTTATTATCTATTTTATAAGGTTGGATTGGTTTAATTGGTTGAATTTTTTTAATTTCTAACTCTATTTGATTATAAATATTTGCATAAAATTTTTTAAAATATGATTTAATTACACTAATTCCTGTTGATTTTTGCTATTGTACTGGAGGATGTTGTCTTAGACATGGTTTATAGCAGACATAAAGACTATTTTCACTTGGTTTAAGATATTCATGTAAAGGATGAGATTTTTTGTGTTTTTTATTTGAATTATCAAATAATGATTCTATAGTTAAAGGATCTACTTTTAATCCTTTTTGCAAAGGATCATGTATTTCATTATATAAAGGATCTTGTTCTTCAATCATATTAGTATCTTTATTTAATATTATTAATAATGCAAACTTTAATATTCGAAAATAAAAAATTTCTCTTTAAATAAAAAATAATTTATTATTTTAATTGTATTTATTTCGCTTTTGTCATATTATTTTAATAATCATATAATTAATACGTATAAGATTTGATAAAAAAAATAATTTATTATTTATTTCGCTTTTGTCATATCGATATTATTTTAATAATCATATAATTAATACGTATGAGATTTAAACAATAACTCAAGTTTCCATAATAAGAAATAATAAACCGTTTGCCAAATTAAGAACAATAAACAGTTTAACAATAACTTGTTCGCCAATTTAAGAATAATAAACTTCAAATAGGAACTAATTGTCAAATCGAAAACAATAAATTAGTTCAGAGAAGCTATTTACCAAATTAATAAATATAAGCTAGTTTGAAACTTATGTCTTTTCTACTTTTAGTTTAGACTGAGGTTTTGAACAAAGATTGAACTGCAAAATAAAGAAACTCAATAAGCCGTTTTGAACTTAAGTTTTTTTGAACCATTTAACATCCCTAGAAAAAATAGTATAGAAGTATAAATAAGAACCGGGGTATAAGGAAATCTATCGACTAAGTCGACTAATTTGATGACTCAGTCGATGACTTAGCCAGTTGATCGGCTGTTTCGCCATTTTAGTCATTATCCGTGGATAATAACTGTTTATTCCAGGTTCTTAATATACTTCTATATTATTTTTTCAAATTAAAATTACGAATTTCATAAAGTTTGGCTTTACTACAATCACAAAACTTTCACTTTTTTGTTTTTTTTAGCCAACGACTTTACTTTTCTAGCTTAAAAATTCGGTACATAATCAAAGAAATATAAAAACTCCGAATTTGAGATCTGTGCAATAAACGAGAAAATAGTATAGAAGAACCGGGGAATAAATCAGATATTTCATGTGCGCCGTGGACAACATATATTACCACGGCTTCGCCGTGGTAATCCATGATATTCACAACAGGCCATTACTTAACTCTGAGAACTAAATTATTTATTTAATAGTGTATTTATTAAATTTTAAATTGAAGAAAAAAAACTATATCTGATCGAGTTTAATATTATTGTTCGGATTTATAATCGGTATTGACCGAAATGTTCCCGGTAAACGAATGATCAGCGAATAAATAACAGACATCAAGAGGTCAAATCCTCATATGATGAATATTTATCCACAATAAAACGTACAATTTACAAGGGAGTATATACATTTAATATCCTCCATTTGCGTACTAAATAGGCTATCGAACGTAACAAACCAATTTAGTGATTGAATAGGAGATTGTTATATTAAGCATAAAAGGCTATCATTTTTTTTGCTCAAGATAAAGTTATGGGAACTTTAAATCAGGGTTCAGGTATGACACTATTAAAACATAGTACCCGTGCCTGGCTAATTTTTAATATTGTGCCCGGCATTTGCAGAACTCGAAATGTATATGCAGCAGCCTATCAAAATGGCGCTCTGAGTTATGATTGGAACACTGTTTTGCTAAAACTCACGTACGATTAGAATTGACACATGTCCAATTACAATTGGACTATGCCCGATCGATATGATATAAATTTACTTTTTTTTCATTTATATTCACAAAATCACGATGCAACTAAGCAGTAGAAATTGAATTTAAAAAAAAAGAAAGACTATAATGTCCTTTCAGATTTATTCTGGCTCAAGCTATATTTAATTCCGCCGTTCTTTTTTTCTTTGTTTTCTACTTGTCTTACGTTTATCAAGTTTAGACAAGCCCCAATAAGATAACACCAGTAGCCCATTGCCAATGACGTCAACAACAGCAGTTCTGTAGATGATACATGTGAGTATCAGTAACGTATTAAGCGAATATAAACAATTTTAAAAATCCAACTAGACTTACATGTAAGGCAATGAATAATTATCTGGATCATAATCGTGATGCCATAGCCATAGCGTCAATTTTTTAGCAATTATAAGTGTAAATGCCACCTAAAAATATATTTTATAAATAGGGGTGCATTTTAAGGCTTGATATAAGTAAGGATACAGACATTAAACCATCAAATAACATACGGCAGTGGCGACGGGCGTCACAACTCAAATTTTATATGATGTGGGGAGATACTACCTCTGACCCTCTAAATGTCTGTACCCATAAATATAAAGGAAAACACATACACAGAGAACAGAAACTAGAAAGTAAGTAATTGAAAAGCTCCAAGTGAGGTTCATATGTCCAATACCAAACCACCAAGCAATTACCAAAATGAGTATTTCGATTGGAATATTAATCAAGAATAATGTTAATTCAGATTGATAATAATCTTCTTCTGTGCCACAGTGAAGACGAGTTGATATTCTTGATGCGTATATGGACCCTAAATTACCAATTATTCCTGCGAACATAGGAACAAATAAATAATGCAATAGGTAACACAAAATTGCATGCTCAACGTAATGGAATGTAGAATATAATACCATTAAGAACAGGAGTTAGAAATGCGAGCCCATGATATTGATCAACATATTTTTCCAATACCAATCCAGCAATACTGTAAACAAGACATATAAAATAAATAAAGCTTGGCAAATGTTATGATAATATGTGCAAATAATTGTGTACGTAAAGGAAACAAGTTACCTTGAAATCACCATAGCAACGAAAAGAGGAGTCCATGCTTCAATCAATAAACGTCGAACTAATTTATTAGACCATGTCATAGACGCCCATAGAGGAATACTCACAGCCAAAATTAAGAACATGGCAGTGCTAACCCATGAATCTAATTGATATGTATATCATAAAAGTGATAAATGGATAAACAAAGAATAAACAGAATGATTATAAACACCATTTGGAATAGTACCTACACAAATAACTAAAAAGCAATTCACTACATGAAGAAAGAACTATTAATGTGAATAAATCACCGAATGACGATGCCAAAGGACATGCAATGTTATCTAAATGTTGAATGCCTGATTAATAATGGAAAAGATGTGTAAAAAACTGCAACACATGACGCACCTGGATTTATGCTAAACTTTCTTGATAATATTATGAGAATACACATAAGTGACCCTAATATCATACTACTTAAGGCAGCACACACCATTGAAACGACTATTATCGACATGCTTTCATGATACGATATCATATGACTCGGATTAAAGATTATTCCTTCTATAAAGGAAAATAATCCAGCAATTGCTCCCACAACCAGCGACTGTAATTGAAGGACTGCGAGGTTACCCCAAATTAGTGTGTACCGAACCGTTGGATTATCTAACTCGCCTAAATTTGCCTGATTTTATGTTATAATTATATAAATTATATTTGTCCACTCTGATAAAGCAAGCTATGAAATTTCTTTTCTATATACCGAAGTTGACAATCGTGATGCTAAATTCATTTCAAGATTTCCTTTCAAATTTAATAACACCGGTACCAAAATATATAGTTCTGGAACATTGGTAAAAACTGGCCAACTCTAGCAATAACATTATAGTGTTAACCATTGTCTTTAATGATATATAATAATAAATATACATACTTGAACCATGTCTAAAAGCCATCCTGCAAGCATCAATCCGGCTGCTGATATTAATATTGGAGGTATTGCCTACAAATTATAAAAAAAATGAATGCACTTGCATTTATAAAAAATAACAATTATGGTCGAACAAACCTCGACAGCTAAACTTCTTTCTTTTTGAACGTCGTTGACATTTGAACTTTTTTGTTCCTTTGATTTAATAGGATCATAATTTTGTTCTTCATCACTTGTTTGAACTTCAACATACTCATTTTTTAAAGGTTTTTGGAAGCGTCTCCATCCTAATACTAGTGAAGACATGATCTCAAAGACACGTACGACTAATTGTCATTATCTAAATTTTGACCAACGACGTTCTGCAGTTCTTGACTCGATGGCTTCGATATCTTTAAACTACCAAACTATCACTTTCACTCTCTAAACTTTCTTCAGGTGAATCAATATGCTTGAATTTCTAAATTCTCTTTATCTTGCAAATAATAACAAGGTCTATTGATTGACAGTATAAATAATTCTTTTTTTTATATAATAACGATAGTAGATAGTTGGATCATCGCAAATATAATATCGATATAGTGATAGTTTGATTATCGCAAATTAATTAAAATGTATAAAAATGGCGATTAAAATTTGAGGAATCGTACTAAAATATCTTTACTAATTTATTCATTATTCTGTGTTGCAAAGAAATGATCTTTGTCATACAAGTGTAACAATTATTAACGTGGCAACATAAATTTGGAACAATTATTAACGTTAAAGCTTTCTGTACCAATTATTTTAAGTGTTTTACTCATCGTTTATTTGTCAATAAAAAATAAATAATCGGATAATTCGAAAGACTTGATAGAATCTTCTACTATCACGTGATGATCGAAAAATTCTTTAAAGTTCAGTTAGGTTAGGGTTAGCATTTCTAATAAGGCTAGGTACTAACAGGTTTATAGTAAAATTGCTCAAGGAATTTGTTTTGTTAGAGCACAAAAGGTATTTTCTTATTCAAATTTTTGAGAAATGTGCAATTTTTGGCAAAATGACGATCTTTTAACGTTTTGTTTTGAATTTTCCTGATCGTGCTACTTTACACCAAATCATGGCTCATTATTGGTCAATTTGCCGTCTATAGTCACGTGATAGTATGATTTTTATGGCAATACGTTAAAATTATTTCGATTTAAAGCAAAAATTTCGATAGATTTGTCAATAAATTTTATAAATTTTACATTTTTTATAAGCAGCCTCAATTTATTTTAATTATTTAGAAGCAAAATTTTAATTCAATTCTATTTAAAATGAAAAATCTAAATGATTATAATATAAGATATTAAGCATTTGAAGAGAATTTTCACTTAAATTTTTTTTGTCCTTATTTAAATGTTGTTATAAACAGAAAAACTACATTTTACACTACATGATGAAATTGACAATCAAATATAATCTAAAGTGATTTGGGTTATAAAAAGTAAATTGTGAAAAAAAAATTGTCAAAAGTCTTTTAAATCTGAATACTCTACTGAAAATAGATCCAAATTACAATATATGTCATATTTTTGAATAAATTAATATGAAAGATTAGACAATTTACAAATCGAATCACTATAAAAAAAAAATTTTTATTGAAATAAGATTAATAAATTTTAGATCAAATATTTATATTGTTTTAAAAAGTGCATAACAGAAATAATTTGAAATATGATTTTTAAATTTTTTAGAAACAGCATTATAAGCTGATCTAAATATTAATAAAAATGTTTCAAAATCAAAATTAAGAGTTTGAATTAAAGAAAATAAAGATTTATTTAAAATTTCTAATTGATTATCATTATTAATAAAAGTTTCTAATTGATTTATTCATTTTTTTTAATATAAGAAAACAAAGAAAGATTCTTGTATTAAAAAAAATTTAAATCATTAAAAAATTGTTGTATATAAAGTTTATAAAAAAAAAAAATCTATATACAACTATTATTAGTCAGATCATTAAAAAATATAATTAATTTTTCAACTGTCTTATTTGAATTATTTATATTTTTATTAAAATAAAAGTTTTAAATATGCTAATAATAATCATTTATATAAAATACTATTTAAACTATAAGTTTTATCTAATATCTATATAAAAAGAAATATTTATTAGATTTTGAACTTTATTTCTTGTTAAAAATTTAATATATCTTATATGTTTAGCTTTTATATATACAAATATTTTTTGATATTTAACAATAAAGTTTTGACTAAATTTATTTGTAAAATTGATATCTATGTTTGGCTAATTAATAAAAATCAAATTAGTATATAATAAAATAAAAATATAATTAATTGATGATCTGCCAGTCATCTGAACAAAGATCATAGTGTAATGTGACACAAATCATTATATAATTTACTATAAAGTGAAATGCAACATGCATCTATTTAAAACTTTTTTTGGTACTAAGTTAACAGTTCAAGTCGATTAATTAAAAATTATAGAGCTCACTGAGGTGCATCTAATAATGGTTAGATCATCTAAATCAGTTTAGTAGATGCCAAGATATTATTAAAAAATACTTGGTTAACTATGTAAAATTCTATATAAACAGATTATTGTTTATATAGAATTTTATATAGTTAACCAAATGTTTTTTGATAATATCTCAACATCTACTAAACCTATTTGAATGATTTAATCACTATTATATGCATCTCAATGAGTTTTACAACTTTCAATTAATTTACTTAGACTATTAACTAAGTACTAAAAAAAGTTTTAGATAGGTGCATGCTGCATTTTATTCTATTGTAAATCATATAATGATCTATGTTATGTTATACTATGATCTTTGTTCAGATGACTGGCAGATCATAAATTAAATTAAAAAAAAAAAATCATATCTAATAAGATTAAGAAAATATATTAGCCAAGATAAATAAATAAGTTGTAATAAAATTAGTTTAAGAACCTTATAATAACTTTTTTTAATATAGTCAGCTAAATTAAAAACTAAAAAACATAAATAATTAAATAATATAGATCATTTAGTTAATGTTTTAATAATAAACTGATTTATAGTAATGTTATTAACTGAATTTAAATAATCTACTACTATAAGCTTAGTGTTTTCATAATAATTAAACAGAATATTTACAACACTTTAGATCTGATTATTAGTTATTTTATTTATAATTATAATTACAAGTTTTTTTTAAAAAATATTTCTTAACTTATTAATATATTATTGATATATTTCTGGTAAATTATATCATCTTAATACATCAACTTATGGCACTGAACCTTTTTCTTTATAATATTTTTCAAAAAAGAGTTGCAATATATTTATTTTTTCTAAAAATATATTTGCTTTAACAAAGACTTTTACAAGATTCTTTATTATTATTTTTTTAGACTCTATTACAAATAAAGAATTTTCAAAGTTTGAAACTAACTATTTAGACTTACTATTTTATAATGTTTTTTGTTTTTTTTATAAATTTAAAAATTAATATAACTAGTAATACTAACTTTATACTTTTAGATAACTAAATGTCTATAATAAATACATATTAATGTATTATTAAGAATAGGAGGCAGTATTTTAAAATTATATATAAACCTAATAATAAATTTTTTTATATTTAATTTTATAAAAAATTATATTAAGTAA